TACTGTACCCTAATTGTAACCTTATTAGTAAAGGATAAATAGAGGTGTACCCTAGGGTACAAAAGTATCACCTAAAAACGCAGTACCAATTTCTTGCCATATATGACTTGTTTAAAATCCTTAATGAACTACCAGATATGTTTAACAGTGAAGATGATCAAGTATATTTAAATAATGAACCTCTTAGTTGTCTTCTCTATGCTGATGATCTTGTTTTATTATCATCTTCTCCAAAAGGCCTACAGAATTGTTTGAACAAGCTGGCCACTTTTTGTGATAAATATTGTCTTACTGTAAATTTGAAAAAAACAAAAGTTGTAATCTTTTACAAAAATGCACGACTCACAAATTTACATTTTATATATAAAGGTCATGAAATTGAGTGTACATTGTCATATAAGTATCTAGGGGTTTTATTCAATGCATCTGGTTCATTTGCTCAATGTCAGTATGATTTATATAAGCGTGGTTTGAAAGCTTTCTTTAAATTGGTAAAATGTTTTGGTAATACCAAACCAAATGCAAATATCTTGTTACATCTTTTTGATCATACTGTAAAACCTGTTGTTTTATATGGAAGTGAGATCTGGGGCACTATAAACACAGAATCTGCAGTTGTTAAAAGGACAAATTATGAAATAGAAAATTCCTTTAAAAAGCTATTTAGTGATAAATTACATATCAAAGCTCTAAAATATATTTGTGGGGTTCACAAGAAGCTTCTAACCATGCTGTTATGGGTGAATTAGGCAGACATCCATTGTATATTGAAATCTTGTATAATTGTATCAAATATTTGCAACATATTTATAAATCAGATAGTTCTTTACTAGCAAGTGCACTACAAGAAAATATAATATTGAATAATAATAGAAAGAGCTGTTGGTTGAGTAGTATTCATTTTATGCTGGAACAATTAGGAATATCCTGTGACAACATCTTGGCTGAAAACCTTCCATCAATAGTGTATAATGAACTAAATAGAAGATTTACTAATATATGGCAAAATACTGTGAACCAACTTTTATTCGCGACGACTTTATTTCGCGCCTTACCTGGGATAAACTAGTTTGCGACGATTAATTTTCGCAATCAAGCCTTTTTGCATCTGTTTTTAATAGATAAATACACAATAAGGACCGGTTCGCGGCGAGAAATATTCGCGATGAAGAAGCTCTCGCGAACTTCGCGAAAATTTCTCGCACGCGAATAAAAGTTGGTTTACAGTAATTTATCAGAATGTGTTAGAAATGAAAAAGGCAAACTTTGAACATATGGATTATACAAAACAAGACTAATAAAAGAAAAATATTTTTCTATGATATCAAAACCAGAAGTTCTTAAATGTTTTACAAACTTCCGCATTAGTTCACATAAGCTTGTAATTGAAACTGGCAGATACAGAAATGTGCCTGCCACAGATCGAAAGTGTAAACTTAGTGCTTCAGACTCTGTAGAAGATGAAATCCATTTTATATTTGAATGTTCAACTTATAAACTATATAGGCAAGTATTCATTAGTCATATAAGTGAAGAAAATAAAAATTTCTCCTCACTTTCAAATAGAAATAAATTTATATGGCTAATATCAAATGAAAGTAGTGATATAATAAATAGTTTTGCAGAATATATATTTAAATGTTACAATAAAAGATCCAATGTTGTCTCAGGATGTTCCTGAAAGTCGAGAATGATATAATATGCAGACAAGGTAGATATCCACTAAAATTTATGCATGATGTGGCATAATGTTTGCGTTTGTGTACTTTTATCATATACAAAGTATTATACATATTCATTGTTGCATATGAATTCAACTATCATTTGGATCTCTTCCTCTCTTTAGCTTTATATATATATTTTTTTATTTATGTTGTATTTTTCTTGAATGCCCTTCATGGGCCCAAAATTGGAAATAAATGATATTCTATTCTTTTCTATAAAACACATACCTATCTAAAATAAATCTACAGTCACATGAGTATTTGATTTTTCACAATAGACAATTATAAGAATTACATGTATGGGAAAAAAAGGATTCAACATTTTTTTCTTGATTATATCAATGTAAAAATAAATTGATAGTGTTTTATATAAAGTTATATTATCGGAGCTTTCTAATTTAAGATAGATAAGTACCAGTAGCTTCTAATGATAAGATGTGCATTTTAAGCAAGTGACCTTGACATTTAACCTTTATTTCTCTCAGATGGCCTTGGGTTTGAGACAAATGAGATTGGTATGGTGCTTGGTATAGCATCATTTCCCATGCTGGCTCTAAACCTGTTCATCTACCCACTTCTCAACAGGATATTTGGAACTAAAAAGGTATTAAATGAAAATAAATAGAACTGGATCACGAAAGGAAGTAGCTCTGTATGCTTGTCAGATACAGTATGTGTTCCGGGCACACAGTACTGTATGCAGTGATATTTTCACCCCCGTTTTATTTTCGCCCCTTTTGCCCTAACTTGGTTGGGCAAATTGAAAAAGGGGTGAATTCAAAGAATATATAAATATAATTTCTTAAACAAAACTGTGAATGGGCGATTTAAAATGGGGCAAAATTGTTTGCAAGGGTGAGAGGACAAAAATAAACCTGTATACAGTTTTTCTTAATTAATGCCATCTTTCTCTCCTGGAATCCCTTTGTCCTTCTTTCTGTATGTTGACATCTTGATTTGTATTTTGTTCATGCTGTTTTAAAGAAAATGTATGTTTTTTTTTTTTTGCAGACGTTCATTATCTGTGGTTTCATCAATGGAGTTCTGATGACAGTAACACCAGTATTACATCTTTTGGAATCTAGGTTTGTAAACCACAGTACAGTATTCCATAAAAATGAAATGTTTACTTAAAAGTTAGAGTAAATACCATAATGCTATGTTTTTATTTACTGTTACAGTAAATCACTTTTTATTCGTGGGAACATTATTTTTGCTTAATTACGCAAGTATGTCTGCTTGCAAAAATTTTATTCTCGCATATAATTGTATTATAAAGGATTATATAAAACAGAAATCACAGTTCACAAAAATGTTATTTTCTTAATTAATACCAAATAGTTCAACTGCGAAAATAAGATGTCTCAAAAATAAAGTGATCTACAGTACATGAGAAGTAGGACTTTATTAGATGTTTTAGCTTGTTGTGTTGTGGTTGAGTGAATTTGATCTCTCTTTTACTTCAGTTCTTCATCTTTGCTATGGACAGTCCTACTGATTGTGATTATTCCGCAGAAAATCATGACAAGTTGTTCTTTTACTGCTACGTCCCTCTTTGTGAACAATTCGTCACCAGCCCACATGGCAGGATCCGTCAATGGTATAGCTATGACTGCCACAGCTATCGCAAGGTCAGTTCTTATATTATTTCTTGTAGTTATCACAGTCATTTGTAAAAATTATTTTCTTGTAATGTAGTTATTATCACAGTTTTTAATCAACAGACAGTGTAGTGCATAATTTTTTTTTTCATTTAATTGTTACAGAAGTTGTGTTATAATTATATAGGGACTTTGCAAACTAACATGCAAAATATCTGTATCACACATTTACATTTAAATAATGTTTATTTTTAAATGCAAAATTCTTGTAAATGTACACATGTATAATGATTCATACTGAATTTCAATTTGATCAGAACCTTAGCTCCAACAATAGGAGGCAGTGTGTTTGCCTGGTCCATAGGGAACGATCTTGGCGCACCGTTTGATGTCAACATCTCTTTCTTTATGTTCGGATTTATCCTGTGGCTGACTAGTGTCTACAGTTTGTTTATTCCAGAGTCCCTAAACAGAAAGAAGAAATAATCTACCTCAACACAGAGATAGAGAGGCTTATACATGTATCTGTACAGCAGATAGTAAAATGTAGAAACAGGTGTTGCTATGCTGCTTTTAAAAAAACTGTCTAGCTGGGTACATATCTAAAAAGTAGAATATTTTTTGCTACAGCTTGTTCATATACATACATGTGTATGATCTGATTAATATATTTTAGATAAAATTGTTGTATGTGTTTATAGTACTTAATATAATTATTTTCAACGAAAATACTTATAACATGCTACAATTATTGTAGATAATGTACTTTTAAAGATTTTGTATAATTCATTGATGACTGTTTTATTTTTGTCAATTTTTTTTTTATATTCATTAGAATGACTGGGTTCTTATTGTTATTGAAGAGCAATTAATTTTTGTGGCTCATTTACACTTATAAGTGTTCTAATTTCTCATTTTTGATGAGTTTGAATGGTTTAAAGTTTGTTAATCTCATTCCTTTATATTGATTGTCTAGAACTCTGGTATTAACAACTATTGAAATGTTCAATGTAGATACTTCATATTTGGCCAAAATGAAGGTCAAGTTTTAAAGTCACATCTGTGCATCAAAGTTCATACAGTAAACCTTTTAAAGTATAAACACAGATATAGCACATTTTAGGATTTAAGGAAGGTTTTTTTATCCCGCCCCTGGTGATATTTTTTGTACAGTCAATCCTCTTGTTCAAAATGGGGACATGAAAAAAAACTTCAAGATATCTGAGGATTTAAGATATCTAGTGTAAACTACTTAAAGAATAAGTAACTGGGGCTTCCATTTCACTTTGACATATCCATGGTATGTGAGATCACAGGGGCCAGTAACATGCTAAATTTGAATTTACGTATTGACTATATATATATTTTTTGTATATATATAGTCAATACGTAAATTCAAATTTAGCATGTTACTGGCCCCTGTGTGTGAGATCTGTGTTCGATATATCAAAGTTCACACTCTGTTAAAAGGCAGCCATATTAAAATAATGGATATAGTATAACTTATTCTATTTCTTGTGGAAGTTTAAGTTAAAAAAAAATACTCCCATGACAAATTATTAAGAATTCAAAACTGAGATAATAAGCGGACAACACTTTTCATAAGTTTTTATGTTTGGAATTCAATTCATTTTTAATTTTTTTATCCTTAAGGTTCAGTACTTCTCATACATATTCAGTTGTCATACAATTATTGGTAAGGAAAACATGCATGATATTGGAAATTAACTACAAATATTTTTAAATTAACAAATTCATTTTACTAATATAATAAATAACAGATATAGCAACGTTAATTCACAGGACCCAAGGACTTTCAGTTGTTATAACCGAGTTTTACTGTATATATTTATACATAATATATTATATTAAAATACCATAGACAAAAGAATATTTTATAAAATCTTGTTGGCTCATTATAATTATACATTCATTTATTTACATTATATAAATGAAAACCTTTGGAAAATCCAATTTTATAGAAAGTATTGTTTCTTACATTCTAATTTTTGTTGTAGCTATTAATTTTAATAGAACACAAAATGAATTGAGTTACCATTTTGTAGCTGTTGTCTTATTTAAATATGGGTTTGATTTCTTGTCATACATGTTTGTTGATCATCACTATTTTTGACATTTTCAAACTTAAAGTATTTCATCATAACAGTAACACAATACATGTACATGTAAATCCATCCATCTCTGGTATCAAGAGATCTCGGGAATTTTCCCAAGAGCGTGTGTTATCTTTTTATTTTGTTATTTTTATGGACTACTTTTCATGACATTATTGATATTTAAGCAGATCCCAAACATTTATCCAAGATTTCACACAGAAAAAAATGATTAAATAAAAAAAAAATTCTACAAATCCATTGAAATAGAAACTATAGTTAACAATATCTGACTTTTTTGTAACTTTCTTTATTTTTGTGCTAAAATTTTTTTATCATTTTGTTGAAATGTGCTCATGCAGTTATAAGTGATTTTGTTAAAAATTTTTCTTCATAACGAGGCACAAATATATGCAAAGGAACTTTTTTTGACATATGTTGTTCATAGTTTGGCACAATTTACTTCTAAATCATCTACAGAAACAATTAATTTGCATAATTTATAAAATGACATTCTTTTTATAGCATAGCTGATTGCCTCTTGTGTTTCAAAGGTTGTGAAAAATGACGGTGTTTTATTTCTCATAACCAAGTAGTGTAAACCAATTTTTACATGTATTTGTGTGCGAGAAATTTTTGTGAAGTTCTTGAGAGCCTTTTCATTTATATGAATATTTCTTGTTCTGTACTGATCCTTGAAGTCTCTGTGTCAATTAAAAACAAATCCTGAAAACGGCTTGATCACGAAAATTAATTGTCACCAACTAGTTAACCCTCCCCCTAATAAATCATGAAATAAAGTTGCCACAAATAAAAGTTGGTTTACAGTATCAATTTATCAGTGTATCGAAGTGTATGTTCTTGTATTTTCATAGAAATTGAAGGTGACGTGGATGGTATTTTTTATTTATTTTAAACAGAAAGACAAATTATTGTGTAATTTTAATGATTTTTGAACAGAAATTAAAAATTATATAATTCAAGCAAATCTTAAAAAGGAAGCTTAATTATTTATCAATTTAGAGTTATCTACCTTCTAGCCCAGATTCATATTCTGCCTTAAAAATAAAGTGGGCACAATAATTTTCCTTCAATATTGCTATTATCTCTGGTACATTCATTATTAAAATATTTGATAAAAAATTGTGATTAATTTTTTTAAAAAGCTATTTTAACTCAGATAATAACTATAATAAGATGCTAGAAGTGCATTTTAGGAATGAAGTGGTCATTAGTGGTTTGCTTTATTAAATTTTGATCTTTAGAAGTTAAATTCTGGGGAGGAAATCAACTTTTCTCACATCAAAAGATATTGTGGTTCCCCAATTCTTGCCCAGTAACAAATTTTCTGATGTGCCACAATTTTTTTAGGTCACCTGAGTAAACTCAGGTGACCTATTGCTATCCGTTTTCGTCCGTCGTCGTGCGTCGTTCGTCGTGCGTTAACATTTGAACATTTTCAGCTTCTTCTCTGCAACCACTGAACCAATTTCAACCAAATTTGGCACAAAGCATCTATGGGTGAAGGGGAACAAAAATTGTGAATTTCATGATCCCTGTCCCCCTGGGGCCTGAGGGGTGGGGCCAAAACCACTAAAATTAATGCAATCTTTAAAAATCTTCTTCTTTACTCCTGGACATCAAGCAGTCAAACTGTTTGCATGATTGTAATCAGCAATGAGTCCTCTACCAAAATTGTGAAATTCATGGCCCTGGGGTCAGGGGTTCTAGTGCTAGGGCGGGGCTAAATAAGTAGGTAGTGAAAATGCATTATTTCTTTGAAAATCTTCTTCTCTGCTCCTGGGTATTAAATAAACCAACTAAGTACATAGTTATGATGAGCAAGAGTGCCTCTACCAAAATTGTGAATTTTATGGCCCCAGGGTAAGGGGTTCTGGTGTTAGGGCGGGGCTCTATTGATTATGTAGTGAAAATACATGAATTCTTTGATAATCTTCTTCTCTGCTCCTGGGTATTAAATAAACTAACTAAGTACATAGTTATGATGAGCAAGAGTGCCTCTACCAAAATTGTGAATTTTATGGCCCCAGGGGCAGGGGTTCTTGTTTTAGGGTGGGGCTCTAATGATTATACAGTGAAATGCATGAATTCTTTGAACATCTTATCCTTTGCTCCTTGTTAATATACTAATGATCTAATTACATATTTAAGGCTAGGATTTATTTTATTTTCAGTTTTACAAACCCTCAATTCAAGGTTTTGAATTTTCAGAAAAAATAAAACAATTTTTTTTCTTTCCGATGTCAAATTTGAGTCGGGATCGAGATTTCAAATTTACGAACTCGCACTTCCGGTTTTAAGATGAAACGGCGGGTAAATAAAGATAGCTTGGTTTAGGGTAAAATTCATTGATACGAGTGCCATTCACAACGTTTCACCCGTTCAAAGGACAAATAAAATGCTGACGACTTTGTTGCAGAATGACATGCTGGTGAGCTAATTATGTATTCGTTTCAAAAGTATCTGTCGGTAAATTATTTTCCTCCCCAAGGTTTTAAACTGCCCGTGGTAGCTATTGCATATTGCCAGTGACATTGTTTAGGTCTCTGTTATAGCTTACAGTCAAAGCATCATGTGTCCAGTGGTAAGGAGCCTATTAGAATAGCAAAATGTACAAATGTTAATAATTGATTTATCCAAAAAATTTTTTATTTCCTTCTCCTTCGGGACTTTTTTATTCTCATGTTCATAACTAAACCTACACATAAAAAAAATGCTGGCCTTATAATGAAGAAAGGGGCCTCTTTCAAAATAGGTAATTTCAGGGCCCCAGGGTCAGGGGTACCAGGGGGGTACTTTGACTAAAAATAAATTAATGCTTTGAAATCTGCCCTTTGATAAGCAATGGTGCCTCTTTCCAAATTTGTGAATTTCATGGCTTTTGGATTAAAACACGAAGCAAATACAGTGCTCCAAGTTGCGACTAAAATGGTCGCAAATGCGACCAAAAAATTGATTTCGCGACTAAAAATGAAAACACGCTCACATTTTCGCGACTAAGAAAATTTGGGCTGGAAACGTCCATTTTTAAGATCGGGATCTGGTCAATTGCTTGGATATCACAATGAATCATGCTAATAAAGAGTGTTTTTGCGGCATTTATTACGATTGTGTAATGGGTTAGGTACGTTGTAGCAAGTAAACATGACAAACAGCAGGTCCTGTCTCAAAAGCTGTCAGGCTTGTATTTTCATTTGATAAAATTTTATTTCAATCTGTGATAAGAATACTTGTGTTCTTCTGTACAACCATAAGGGTACTTGTATTCAATAAAAATATTTCATTCAACCTAGCAAATTTTTATAGTAACAGTAATAAGTAATCCTTGATTTAATAAATACATTCTACATGTACTACATATCCTTATTTAAATTATCGAGTTTTATTGACAAAATATATTTTTTTTTTATGGTGAGTGAAATATTTGATTTTGGCGACCAGAAATTCTGAAATGGCGACCAAAAAAAATTTTAGGTCCCCATTTTGCGACCTAAAAGGAAGTGTGACTTGGAGCACTGAAATACAATCGCTGGAAACTTGTTACATGATACTTAGGTGACCTATAAGGCCCGTGGGCCTCTTGTTATTTTATCCAAAACATCCTAGTCAATTGATTGGTGCTACAAGCCCTGTTTAATTACGTGTATCTTGTTGAGAAA